ATTAAAATCATTATTACAAGCTAACCGTTTTGAATCTAGCTATGGCAAGCAGATAGTTTTGACCACTGGCAGAATATGTTTTTTTTAATATAATTATTTTGGATTATTTTTAACTTAAAAAAGTTACGGACAGCAGCTTTAAGGTTTGAAACGATCACTTACCAGGGTTCTGCAACCGCCCTTGACATCCAGGAAGTTCCTTTCCATTCAATGTGACACTTTCCAAAATGGCTTTTCCATCTCTCTGAGATGAAAGAGTTTAGTGTAACGTATCATCATTTGGTGTTTCCATCATCTCAAAGTTTACGTTCACATCCTAAGCTTAGTTCCACATCACTAAAGCTTGTATACAGGTTAGCTCACCTGTATATGCTGTAATATCCGTTCCACACACCATCCGCTGAGGTCTTTGTACTTTTCCACAACATCAGTTCTACCCTCTGTCAGCTGATCTACCAGACACAGGAGCATCATGGGAACTGCCATACTGTTCACAGGCAAATCACCAGGAAGCTGAGGACGACCAAGACCTGACGGATCCGTCTGAACCCAGATTATCAACTGATCCATCATGCTCTCAGCATCTGCCTGGTGAGAACAAGGACAGAAGATAACCTGACATCATTACAAATACAAAACAAACTAAAAAAAACAAAGTTATTATAATCAGGTGAGAAAACAAACGCATGTGCTAAAAAGTCATTCAAAGCTGTTCACTTTTTACTAAAAAAATATAAAAGTACAACCATAGTCACTTCTATACATCCGTTTCATTTCTAGGTGAGATATTGTCTAATAGTTTTACCTGCATCTCTTTGTCTTGCGTAATCCTGGACAGCTCGTCCATGGCCATCACGTAAAAACACTCGCTGAATATCGTCCTTTGAACCTTCACCGCTCGACCATCTCTTGTCAGGCAGAACGCACATTTCCCCGGGCCGCTGGAGGCCGGAACTCGAGCAAACTTCTGCAGAAATGCAGCTCCTGAAATTCAATAATATCTGATGATGTGACAGGATCACTGCATATCTGTGTGAATACCAAGATTAAAGCTGCAAGATCAAATGCTGTAATCTTAAACAAACAAAAGCAAAACACTCTGACAGTTTAGCAATGAAGTGTGAGAGCACATTTTATGTTGTGATATTTTTCTGATACATAAAAAAAAAAGGATTACACTAAAATGTACATTAAAAAGAACAATACATATACTAGTTTACACATGTTAATCTTTGAACTGGGTCATTTGTGTAAATTCTGATATTATTTTGTCTCTTGGACTACTGTATGTGTAAACGTGAAATAGGTTTTTCAGGCCAGTACTAAACAAAAAAGTTATGATCCCTCTTATTTTATTGACATTTTGCAGTTTCTGCAAAAATGCACACCTTACAGAAAAAGTTTGGGTCGTAAAGTTTTTTAACGTTTTTGAAAGAAGTCTTTTAATGCAAAAAAAATACAGTAAATTAGTAATATTGTGAACTTAATTAAATTTAAAAGAACTGTTTTCCATTTTAATTTATTTTCAAATGCAAATTGTTTCTGTGATGGTAAAGCTGAATTTTCAGCATCATTACCCCAGTCTTGTGTCACATGATCCTTCAGAAATCATTCTAATATGCTGATTCGCTGCACAAGAAACATTTATTATTATTATCAATATTGAACACAGTTGTGCTGCTTAATGTGGAAACAGTGATGCATTTTTCCTGGATTCTTTGATGAATAGAATTTTTTGCAACAATGTAAAAGTCTTTACTGTCACTTTTGATCAATTTAATGTACCCTGGCCTTCCTTGATGAATACATTTTTTTTTTTTTTACTGACCCCAAACTTTTGAATGGTAGTGTGTTTATTGATAGATAGAGCAACTGAGAAACTGAATCACAAACCTGATTTGGCAGCCTCAAGAATCTCAGGTTTGTGAAATCTTTCCATTGTACGATACAGCCTGCTGTACATCCATACCTGGTGGATACATTAGACACTCACTTAACACAGATTTTATTGGAAAAACAATTAAACAAAATTCTCATTTAATCAGCAAGGGCCAGTTGTTCAAAAAGTTTAATTTGGAAATCCCATGGTTTGGAAATAACTTTTGACTGGTTCATCTCTTATGATTGTGCCAATTTAATTTACAAACAGTGATAAAAAACCCCACTTTAAATTAAATAATTACACAAAACCTTTTTTTATAATCCTGATTTTTAGTATCAAAAGTATCCCAATCTTACAAAAAAGTTTTGAACAACACAAACTGATGATTTGATTCAGATCAAAACCAATATTGAATTTTGTGATCTAATCTGATTTCAGAATCCTTTTTTTTTTTCTTTTGAACAACCTATATAAAAAAATTGATCCAATACGATAGCCAATATCCGATCAGATTACTTTTGAACAACTGGGCCCTAATGATTATTAGAAATAAATTGATATTAGAACATGAGAAACATGTAAAGCTCTGACCTGTCTCCCCTGTAACCACACATATTTCAGCTCATCATAGACCTTCCCATCTTTTCCAAGGCAGTTAAAAAATCCACTAAAGTCAATATAATGAAACAAACATTTAACAAGGGCATAATATTTAATCCACGTTAAACTATAATTAACTTTAACATTTATAACTTAGCAAAGTAAGTACATATGCCTTAAAAAGTCTTATGGATACGTTTTGAATGATGGTGTCCCTCAGGGTTCAGTGTTAAGGACAATTTCAATGCTCAATCATTCAAGCTTACGTAGTACAAATATTTCAACATCCAATTAGATTTTTAAGGAATTATATGGGAAATGCTGCTGAAGCCATGCATTCAAATGTGAATCATTTTACCCATGTTCTTTGTCATGGGAATATTTCAGCCAGAAATCCACAACTCTGTCCAGTTCAGTCCGGATTCTCTCTCGATACTGTTCCAGCGGTGCTGCCGTCATTGCAAGTCCTTAAAGCAAGTGACAGTTTAGGGTCATGCACAATGGTTGTTTATAGTATGACTATAAAAGATAGTTTTGACATGTAGGCATTGCAAGTGATCCTGTGATGTTAAAAACTGACCCTTGCTCTATGTCAATAAATCAATGCTTATAACTTTATCAGTCAGCTACTCATTTCCATATGATAAACCAAACTGTTTGCATTATCAATAATTCACCAATGCAAAGATGAATTCAGTTTAACTCTATCAGTGTGATATTTTTGAAAAGCATTTTTACTTATGAATACCAAGCATAAAATGCTTCTACTACCTGACAAAAATCAGAATCTGATCGCCAATCAGAAAAATAGGAGGCGGCTCTCTGCCAACCTCGACCAATGGTGTAGCCTAACTTTGGGTTTCCACAAAAAATATTAAGCAGCACAACTGTTTTCAACATTGATAATGATGATAAATGTTTCTTGAGCAGGGAATCATATTAAGAATGATTTCTGAAGGATCATGTGACACTGAAGACTGGAGTTATGATGCAAAATTCAGCTTTGGCATCACAAAAAATAAATGACATTTTACTATATATTACAATAGAAAAACCTTTTGAAATTTTTAATAATATTTCACAATACTTTTTTTTTTTTTTTACTGTGTTTATAATAATTAATCTTAATTATTCCAAACTTTTGACAACCAGTGTATTTAATTTCATAATTTATTTATTTAGCTATTCCGTTTGGCGCCTGTACTGACAAATAATTTGCATTTCAAAGTAGTAATGTACATGGAAAAACAGATTTGCATGCATTTTCATTGCGATTGCTGGCAACCATTCGAAGGGGAACTCCGTGGAGTTTGAGCTGAGTAACGTTAAGCAAACGGAACTAAAGAGAACCGCGACAGCTGTGCAGGTCATTGATTAAACAGAAGCTTGTGATTAGTGCATGCATATCATCTGCCTCAATGCTCTAAAGGCTTTTAGAAGGAAAGAGTTTGGCGACTCTCTACTAAATGTTGATTTGCAGAACTGTTTGGTTAAATCTGTGATATCTGATGGTGACTGGCTTAACGTTATATTGCGTGCTTCTGTCTGGAACTACACAACTTTACGAGAAAAACAGATCGTGTCTAAACTCGCCTGGTCTTGGCGTCTCCCTGCTTGCAAAAAAACACTACAAAATGACTCACCACTTTTGCCAGATGAAGAAGAAAATCCACCTTCTGTACTTGACTGTTTTTAAAACGATCTTGTTTTTTAGTGACACTGAAAATAAAAGCGGTTAAACCGACTCTTCCATAATTTTGCAGAGGCAGTCAAAAAGGCACATCATATGACCAACATCTAGACAGCTGGTCCTGTTTATTCCGCTTTCCTAAGATCATTGGTCAGCTCCTTTTCTGCTCATCCAATCACAGGCCAGGAGAACAGGCAGGGTGAGGCACGTGCAAGCAAAACACACACAGGATTTTCCCTAGTACTGACACTGTTGGAGTAACGTTAGATGGAGCTTTATTGCAAGATTCGTTATATCAATCAAAGCCATGTTAAATAAATACAATATGAATAGGTCGTTCTGGTTTGATTTTAAATACTGACATTTATAACTTTCAAACCCATTACAAAAACAATTACCACGGTAATTTGCCCCGTTATTTTTTTCTTCAGTACCAAAAAAATAGATGTGAAAACATCGTTCGAACATGTGTCACGGTAAAAGCGTGGTATTTACTTAAGTACTTTGTAGTATAAGGGTTTCTACAAAACATTTCCTCAGCAAAATATTACAGTTTGTGAATCACTGTTTGAAGTATAGTTTGTATGTTTTTACAGTACTAGGGCTTATCAATAACCTTAGTAGATGGTAATAATGGTATTTCGAAGGAACTATGAGTATGACTGGGTAGGCTAGTTTTTTTGTTTTGTTTTTGTTTACATTATTAAATTATTACAGAACACAATTGTGTAGTGAACTGTAACAGACTAAAAATGTATGAAAAAAGGTTAATAACAAGATCATAATGGATATAACGAAACGCTGTGTACTTTATTTCAAAATGAAGCTGCGTGGCCAAATGAAGTGTGTGTTTAGTCAGATTCAGGAGTGAATGTTCTTCTGTAGAGCTGTATGGACTCTCTTCAGGTTCTGTCTCACTCGCACAAACTCCAACAGCTGAACCTCCTCATGTAACTTCTCCTCGTCTTCCTTCTCCTTCTGAGATGTAACAAATCAGAAAACACAGACAAATAAAACGGATGAAATTCCCACTCAGTTATTACAGTTAGTGTTACTACAATGAACCTGTTGTAAACGAAATAACATAAAAAACTGTGAAAACATCAATTACATCATATTAATGTATTATGATTTCTACACAGTAGAAATAATACAATACAGAAACTCCTTTATTTTGGTGTAAAGTGTGGTTTACCATGGTCAGTTTTGTAAGGCAAACCTATATAGTAATAACAGTGTGTAAACTGATGTGTGTTTGTTTGGCCTGGAGGAGGCTGCTGACCATCATCTCCTGGTGTTTCTGCTGGCGCTGGAGAAGCACCTGCTCTAGAGGACTCCTGCTCTGCTCTCCCTCCTCCCTCTGGCTCTTCTCTCTCTTCCTCCTCTCCAGAACCGCCTGAAGCTCCGGCTTACAGCCCACCACCAGCCCTCTGTCCCGCCCAAAGAGCCAAAGCACAAACAGGTATAAAAGTAACATTTTACCAGTGTTATTTTAGAAATATGTGTATACTATTACAGTTTTCCTTAACCCTTTAAGTGTCACCCCCCTTTTTTTGAATATACATGAAAATGCACATTTCGAACTTAAATGGTTGTAATTCAAGAATGCTTTGGAATATAGACGTAAGATTGGTCTTGTTTTAAAGAAGACATTTGGCAGATTCTTGTAGAAGTGAAATAAATTAAGAAAGTGAAACAGAAAAAAAGTTATAGAAGTTTGTGTTTATGAAAATGTACAATGTAAAATTTTTAATTATTCATATTTTATATAAAATATATATTTTCAAAACCTGGGCGACTCTAAAACTGCAAAAAAATCAAAGCCAAAAATCTGAACAAGTTGTGTTTCAAATTGTAGGTTGATATCTCAAAAAATGAGCTTTCAGTAAGATTTTGTTTGGGCGCAGTACCAAACTTTTTCACTAGATGACAACCAGACTCCATCACTGCCCATATAAGGGCGCCTCCATTTCCATATGTGTTTTGAGTGATATGAACCATTATTTCCACAATTTTCATACAATTTATGAAGTAGACATCCTATTCAGAAGTAATATGAGAAGTTTGGCAGATTTTGATATGATTTCAACCTCTAAGAAACATAAAAAGAACACGCATGTGCGTTTTAGCTTCCTGCCACATCATATAATTTTTTTCTTTATATAAAAAAAAATTTCAGACCTTTTTTTTTTTTAATAATTGAATGGATGCTATCTTTTGAACTCTTGGAATGAAAACAAACTGAGGTTTCTACCCTTCTTTCATGATTTTTCATGTTCATCACTATTTCAAAATAAAGGTCTAAGAGTATGAAAATATTATTGTTGCAAATTGATAAATTACGGCTCCTCTGTAATTTATTTTGAAAATCAATCACCAAATATGGAAACTAGAGATTGTAAGCTTTCAAATGATATATAGTTTGTCAAGATTAGTTTAGGTTTAGTATAGGATATTACTGTTTTAAAAATGTAAAGAATTTGGGCCCACCGGTGGGCCCGTGACACTTAAGGGATAGTTCACCCAAAATAAAATGAAAAAATCATCTTTTACTCACCCTCAACTCAAGTTGTTCCAAACCTGTATGAATGTGGGTAACCGAACAGTTAACCATAGCCATTTATTTTTTTCATACTATGGAAATTAATGTTATGGTGAACTGTTTGGTTACATGGATTCTTCAAAATATCTTATTTTGTGTTCAGCAGAAAAATAAATTCATACAGGTTTGGTACAACTTGAGTTGAGGGTGAGTCAATTATGACAAAATGTCTATTTTTGGGTGAACTAACACTTTTAATATTTTGCATAAGCTTTTATTTTTATATTTTCAGTTTTCATTTAATTTTAGTTAAGATACATTTTGTTATGTGCTTTTATAATTTGTATTAGTTTTAAAATATAATATATATTTCTATTTAGCTTTATTTTTATTTTAGTTTTAGTAATTGTAGTACTTCAATTTAAACTTATTAATTTTAGGTGGTTGCCAAGGCAACATTTCTAATTTACATTTATTTATTTTTAAGATTAAATTTCTTATCTAATATTTATATTTTATTATATTTAAGCTTTATTGCAATTAATGAAAACAATTTGTAACATTTTGTTTTAGTTATAACACTATTTTACATGTAGAAGTAGTTGAAGAAAAGTAGGCCCATAAGGACAAAATTATACATATACTGTATATATATGTGTATATATATATATATATATATATATATATATATATATATATATATATATATATATATATGATAAAGTAGGTGAAATATATTTGCATTTATGCATTTAGCAGATACATATATAAAAATACAACAATTTAAAAACAACTGTGGAAACAATTATGGAAAAAACTAAATCTTTCTTCTATGTATCATAACATTATACAATTTGGAGGCCATCTCACAAATCATTTTAAATTAGATAATAAACTAGAAAAATAATATTTCAATGTTTCTCTTGCCGTTTGCTCGCAAAACTTTGACGTTCCCCGAGAAACTTTTTTGTTTACTATTTCATATTATCATTTCATATTATTTCCATAACAAAAAGGAAAATGTCAAAGTTTTGAATGCAAAGTTTCTCTGGGAACTCAAAATCTATGCGAGAGAATGCAAAAACATTGAAATATAATTTTTCCTCCCATCTAATTTTTCCCCCATCACCACACCACGACATAGACAGACATGAGACAGGAGGAAAAATTATGTATCAATTCTTTTACATTCCTCTGTTGAAACTTTGTGTTTGCCCGAAAAAGAACTGAAATATAGTTTTACTTTTCAACCCATAATTATTCCCATCACCAGTTTAGCAAGCAAATGTAAAGTTTCTTGTGGGAACTCAAAAGTTTTACAAAAGAATGCAAAGTTTTGCGAGCGTCATCACCATTGACATCATGAGATTTGAGAGTAATATATGAGCCCATATTTCTCAGCAGTAGCAGCCAAAGTGACTGAACTTGAGTTTTTCAGTAGTCTCTAAAGGACTTGGCAGTAGTGATAGGAAGGCCTATCATTACAGTATCTGACACAGTGTGTCCTGAGCGCAGGCTGCTGATAATACCAGAGGTGTACGATTGCAGCCCGTGCGTCCACACATGACTGCCTGACACAAAAGACCAGAGAGAGAGAGCGAGGCATCATCAATATTTCACTAACCCACTTAAGAAAATCTCCATGAACAGAGATAAATATTCCTGTGTCTGATTTGGAGCCCTTGTATTGTGATCTTACTTTTTGTGGGCCAGTAACAGCTCTTTGTGAAGCTCCTGGTGGCTCCTTGAGGCTTTCACCGGGTTGTTTAGGTTCCAGGGGCCCTCGGCAATATCACATTTATCTGCATTTTCTCAGACACAAAAGTTATTTCTGCAAGATTCTACAAGACACACTTCTCATGTCACTGTCTGTCAACAATAGCAGAGTAACGCACCTCGATTATGGCCATGATGATGCAAAGAAGTACAATTAACTGTGTCTGTGGACGTCTTTGCTCTGGACTGTGCTGATCTGCTGGAGTTGGAGATGTGGTTGTGTCCTGCGGCGCAGTTGGATAAGGCATTTTTGAGTTCTTGTTCGGACGGTCTTGTCAGGAGTGTTTGCGCAGCCGCCGATCTCATTGCACACGCAGGTATCAAGAAGGGCCCTCAGCCAAAGCTCCTGCTGCATGCTGGGAAACTGTGCGTTGGGGTCGTCAACGAAAGCAAAGAGAGTAACAAGAGGGGAGAGATTGAGTTTCACCTAAGTGGGGATCTATAATTTATTCGCTGGTCAAATGCCTGCCCCTGTTAAAATGATTTATTTGTCATTTCAAGCAAAATCACATGAACAGATTCCTGGCTGACAGAGGAAGGCATGCATCACATTTTTCATACAACTAAAATGATGGATAGGAAGAAGATATATTAGAGAGCATAAATATGCATACTTTTCTAAATTACTACACGTCTTTAATAGGAATGGACACACCACAATATTGCATTTAAAACATTAAAATAATCATAATCACTTTGATTTCGACTCACAGAATCACATCTGAACAAAATGACACATCAATACAGGCACACATTTTTCCAGGCGTATTTTCCAGGGTTTGACATTGTGGAACGCAGTCTGTGCTTAAGAAAATGGAAAGCGTAGTACTGAACTCACCGAAAGTGTGTCACCGCTCCATGAGCGAGGTGTCCTCTGAGCAGCAGTGAGTATGAGAGATCTATTTACGACACAACAGTGCGGACACCTGAGAAAGGACACTTTATCTCCCCGTCCATCAATGTGAGTGAGGCGCACTTCACTTGCACGCCGCTTGGGGGCAGCAAGTGTACGACAAATCAACGTACTCCCAATCCTTCTGGCATTCTTTCTCATTATGTTTTACACATAAAGGGCTACTTTTGAAAAATCAAAACAAAATTGCATTTAAATTAAATTAAAATCGTGTATACTCACAAAAGGAGGCTCAAGTCATATAATTATTTAGCCTAATAAAAGCTGTTTTATTTTGCATGGAGCAGGTCGCCCTCGTGGGGGTAACGTTAGGTGTTTAAACCATGAACAGCTAAATACAGGTTTTATCGTAACCTACATGGATGCGATCAGAGTACTCAGTGGTTTAAAGGTAGGGTAGGCAATTTCGGAGAGGCTAGCAATAGCAAGCTAGCTTTGAAAGCATATAGCGTCTACAAAGCCATTTGCACACCACAGTTTGCAAAGCATCACGAGACTTTGCATTATATAACATTACAATAACAGTGAACGTAAACAACTTAAGGAGCACTGACTTGTACCACCTGCAGATCCATTTTGGTGTTGATCGTGTTGACATATAGAAACGCATAAATCCTAGTCTGAGGATGTGATTGTGAACAGCTCTGGGTTGAACGTCGACGTGGGTTGCCATCTCGTAATTACAGTTATGACATGGCGTGAAAGCAGAATAAGCAAGTAGTTTTGGTTCAGGAGGAACTGTAAAGGTTTCCTGCTGTTTGTTTTTGGCGCAGTGACTGTCTGCATAGCCTCATGGAACACGCTGATGTCTGTGTGAGCAGGGTGCACGGTCGGCCACGGAGGTATGGAAATACATGTTGACGGGCATGTATCATTGCATTCGGACCGATTGGATGAAAAATGTTTGGTCATGAGACTTCCACATAAGATATATGTTTAATGTTGAGACCACTTTTGCTATCAATATGTGAAGAGTTTCAACCAGTATAACAAAAAGTGTTTATTAAAAGAAAATGCCTAGATTCAACTAAGTTGGTATGAAATGAAATTGCGTATGAAATGAAACTTTTCTTCCCTATAGTGACATCTGAGTGAAACAGTTTCTTGATAAAAAAAATATATAAAGCCTGCCTTCATTTTGTCCATCGGGAAGTGATCTAATGATCATGTTTTGCTTTCCCGCCAGTAAGCGTTGACCATCAGAGAAGAGATGTTACAAGGGAGGGGAATTTATTTAGATGAAAGATTTTGAGGGCACGTGAATAAAAAATAATAATAATGATGTGCACGGAGAAATCATTTATAAATAATATTAGCTACATAAAAAAATAAGTATGGTCAATTTTGATTTCATTGTGACTGTAGGCTATGTCAGTTGACTTCACTACATTTTGAAGAGGAAATTAATACTTTTACTCCAAAGCATTTCTCTAGATCCTTTCATTACATTTGTGCTGAAGGAGAACAGTTACAACAGGAAGTGCTGGCCCTCTGTCAGCAGTGTAACAAGAGAATCGTCATACTGATCTCATCTAGAGATCTTTTTACTGCAGGACATAATGAAAAAAACTGACCCCCTCGGACTAAAGATGAGCAAATGTCAAACTAGAGGGCACAAAAGCCTCAAAACTGAAATATGACGCTGGGAACTCCGAGGAAAGTGATATGTGATGATGAGTGGAAAGCATTGAAATTAAACAGGGTCATTGGTTATTATTATTAACCTATCTGTCAAGACTGAAAGTTTACCAATAGCTGTATCTCAAAACTTACCGAGTTGAATGTTCAATTATCTAAAATATTAAAACCTCTCTAGACACAACCCCAAAATTACTTTTAAATTCTACATTAGTTTAGATCAAATTTTAAATAGTTTGAAAAAAATTCTAAAAAAAAATATCTACATTTTTAACTTTTAAATTCATAAGCGCATGAACATACAGAATTAAAAGTATGGTAGAAAATGGGAATATTTTCAAATAATATTTAAATGAGTCACCAATTGCCTTATTACCACCAACTTGTGATTATCATTAACTAACAAAAACTCATTACTTCAAATAAATAAAACATTAACTGAATTAAAATTAAATATTAAAAAATTACTTTAAGCTAGTTGCCAAGGCAAAATATCAAATTTTTAAGTTGAAGTACTAAATAAATACTACAATAAATAAATTATACTAAAATAACACCAACCTGCAGTGTGATTTAAAAAAAACAACAAACTGTATAATTAATCAACAATTGTAAAGAAATTTTTAAAAACCATTTCAGATGAAGTGTCATCCCACTGCAGGACTCATCCTCATCCTCAATAAGACAAACAAAAAACAAATACACGAACATTGAAAACAACTTTATTTTTTCACTACATTTTTTTTCCTTCACAAACGAGACCTGATTTTTCATGATAATTACTATTCTGTAGGGTTGAACAATAAAATATAAAAGAGAATTAAGTTAAAAAATAAACAACAATAAAAATACAACAGGAAGCATTTTTGAAATCTAGAAACATGACCGACTGAAAACGAGATGACAGGCAAGTCGACACATCTTACATACACACACACGGTTCTGACAAGAACAGTAAAATATTGGTTGCGAAGGGCTAAATTAACAAAACAAACCTATTGCAGGGAATGTAACATGCATGTAATTTGCACATGCATGTGTAAATGTCCATAATTAGTCTTAAAAAAAACAAAAACCCTTCCCATCATTACAATAAACAAAATATTAAACCAATTATCTACAAATCTTCACTCAAAACTCCAAAATATTAAGGCACTATTTTTAAATCCTATTATAGTTTTCCCCTGTCAATGCAGTTTTCCACTATCATACTACATGAAAATAAATTGCATTTGTCTTAACAGTGCTGTTGGTTAACCCCGTGTTGTAGGTAGGATAGGATAAACTGGCAGTTTGTTAAATGGATTATTTTGCATGAGCTAATTAGCAGCAAAAGTCTTTGTACCTCTGCATAGTTGATTGTTCTGCTTACTGGTTATACTGTATGCATTTATTTAAAGGCCAATGCAAGTTACATGTCAATAACCAATGAGTAGTAGAAGAACTGCACAACTGGTCAGTTATACCAGAGGAATGTCTTCATTGATCCCTAAAAATTCAGTTTTTTAATGGCTAAAACCAAAACAAGGTGTGCTTATCTATGGCTAGCATAATAAAAGGTCAGTCACAACCAGTTAGACTTCAAATAATACTGATCTCCAAGAGTTTTTGGTTTGGTACATATGTTCATGAATAAGGAAAAAACTTGAGATGACATGACGGTGTTCAGCTTTCAGTGTCTAAAAGCTGAACGACTTGATCCAAACAAACAAAAACAAGACGGGCACATGGAAAACAGGCGAGAGAGAGAGAGAGAGGGTGGGAGAGGCACGAGAGACATGATGAGAGATCCAATGAGGTGAGGTCTGATGAGGATGCTGGGACAGGTCTGCAGGGTGAGGGTGTTCATGAACTCTGGAGCACAGAGGGAGGACACAAGGAGGCTTTCATTTCTGCAAAGACAGAGTGACACAGCAAGTCAAAAGGGTTCATTCATACAAATGCTGAAACAGCACAACCATTTTCAATTTTGAAAAGAAATGTTTCTTGAGCACCAAATCCACATATTAGAACGATTTTTGAAGGATCATGTGACACTTAAGACTGGTGTAATGGCTTCTGAAAATTCAGTTTTGCCATCTCAGGAATAAATTACATTTTTAAATATTAAAACAGTTCTTCTAAATGATAATAGTTCACAATATTACTGTTTTGTTGTATTTTTGATCAAATAAAATATGCTTTCGTGAGCATAAAAGACTTCAAAAACATGTATTGAATTTCACTAAAGGTACGTGATGCAGAGAATCCATGACAGACGAGACACAAGAAAGATGATTGTAAATTTTCATGCGTTTTTCACTCGTTAATGACAGCTTTGATGAAATGCCCAACTGTTGCTAGAAGTATCAACATCATTCTGAAAGTCTCCATGTATGTTTTTGTAATAGTCTTATAGGAGGTAGTTACTTATGTGAACAACGGAGCAGTTACGTGGCTCTGTACTTCGTCTGGCGTGTGTAAGTGTGTGTTGACCTGTTTGCTGCATCAACACCTCTTTGCTGTTTTCGGAGTGGATCTTGTTGCCTCTTAATCTCACGACTCGGGTTGGAGACGATTTTCTCAACAAATTCCTGACATGAGTTTGAATGGCTCGCTAGCCTAGAGGATGTTTCGGTCCTACAGGGGAATGATGATTTCCGGTGTTTATCTGATGGACTGTATGGAGTGGACTGACTGCTGGGAGATGCTACACTTGAGGTTGCCCGAGGGAGAAATTTGGATTGCGTTGTAGATGCCGTATTAGAACAAGCAAAGCGACTCAAAGTAGTTCCCTCAGCAGATCGGGATTTAGAGACGTTAGACAGCTTTTTGAGAAACGCACGTTCTGCATTGGACTTTTTAGAAAGTTTAAGATCATTTTCCTCCATCGTAACCTTACGTCTTTTCTCTGATCCGTCAGCTCTACCTAATCGTGTGGCAAGAGCTTCGACTGAATGTGAGCCAGCTTTGGTCACAGGTAAAGATGTGCGACGTGCTTTAATAAACGTGTTACTGCGAAACGGTGCTGACACTTTAAGGCTGTTTGCCTGTGACTCATTAACTTTGGGTTGTCGTGACTGAATGGCGAAGGGTCCCAACCCTCCAGTAGAGTCATCTAAGGAGCGAGACGAACTTGACCCGTAACTCCGAACGAAAGTAGTGTCGCGCACAAGACCGACAGATGCTAAACTCTGCGTGGACGTAGAGGACTCGGGTTGGTTTGAGGCAGAAAAAGACGAGCATGAGGAAGAAGACGAGGGCACTCTTACGGGGCTGCTGTGAAGGCTACGAGAGAACACCCTCAAGTGGCTGCTCGTGTTCTGCGGGCCAGTAGAAACCAGCACCGGACTGGAGCGTGGACTGCTTCTCATGGGGCTCCGCGGTGCTCGGCCTG